AAAGTCGAGGACTAAAAATGCTATAATATTTTAAAGAGGATGTTGGATTTAACAACCCTTGTTAGGGTCAACTTTAAAGTTAAATCTGATTAGCTTTAACTTTCAAGTTGTTGTTGTTGTGTTCGCGACTGTACCAAAATATTCAAATAAGTAGCGAAGTGGAAATAACAGAAGGGTGTTGTTACACTTGCAAAAACTTGTCGCAACTTACGCCTCGCCTGTCGCCTGTCGCCTTCGCTACTTGTAACTTAACAAGAGGAATTAAGCTACTCGCCCGCACGTGTAATTTATTACTTTACTATTTAAATGTTAAATTAAGTAATAACTTTACGCACGTCTTAAAGTCTGTAAGATACTTGTGAAGTATTAACGAAGTACATGTACTATATGTCATGAGATCTCCTTTTGTTATGTGCTTTCAATCTCATTCTATACATTTCTATCATATAATATAAATAATATTACAAATGCCAAAGTCTGTATAAATGGATGGATAGTTGGATCTTGGCTTATACGAAACTCCACAAAAGCTGAGAGCAACTGTTTGATACCCAACAGATATCAATAGAGATTTTTAGAATAATTCTCTGGCTACAAGTTTTATTCCACATTGAGGTCGAAGGTTTGTCTTCTAAGTATTAAAACCTTTAAGTTTTGAAACAGCTTGTTTCAAAGCCAGCATTATAACTATAGATCGAGTCATATGTACTCATACTTCGTTTTTTATTGTCCGCGATACTGTAAAGTCCGCGTTGGCCGCTTTGGTTGTGTTACTGCTTTCTTGATGGCTTATAAAAGTGAGGCAAACAAGTACAGGTGCAAAATTAACCCCCTGTGAGTGCGCGGGACGGGGCGGGGGTAGGTGCGGGTTACGGCCGCAAGCCTCATAGTCATTTATGGCTTGTATTATTATAACTTGCGGACTCAGAACTCGTGACAATGGAAGTGGTAAAAAGAGTAGTGCAACCTTCTGACGCTAACTGGAATAGAACAGCTAATTTGATTATGTGAGGCTTACAATATTTAAAAAGATTCGTTGAGCCGTTTTGTAGATATGTGGTAAAATTTTCGTGATTATTACAACCTTTAAAAATAAATACAAAAATGCTTTACTAAAGAGACAAATCTTAGGTCAGAACCTACGGCACTTTGACATTAGACAAGCCAAGATACCCTTCTAAGATGCCGCAATTGAGGCCTCAGTCCTTTCTATTTCTATACTAATATTATACACAGGGAAGATTTGTTTTTTTGTATGTAGTGACGTAGCCAAAAGGCTACTGGACCGATTTCATAAACTCTTTCACCATGGCAAATCTACGTTATCGGTGAGTAACAGGAGCATTATTTTGTTAGTTTCACGCGGACGTGGTCGCGAGCGACAACTAGTATCTTATACTTG